CTAACTCAGCAAATGCAAAAGAACGGAAATTATAACAAACAGTCTCTCAGACCACAGTGCAATCAAGTTGGAACAGCATTGAGAAACTAACTCAGAACTGCACAGCTTCATGGAAACTGAACAACTGGCTTTGGAATGTTGACCAGATAAACAATGAAATGAAGGCAGAAATAAAAGATGTTCATTGAAAACAACGAGAACAAAGATACAATGTACCAGAATCTCTGGGACACATTTAAAGCAGTGTCTAAAGGGAAATTTATAGCAACAAATGCCCACATGTGAAGCAAGGAAAGATCTAAAATCGACATCCTAGCATCAAAATTGAAAGAGCTAGAGGAGCAAGATCAAAAAAACTCAAAAGCTAGCAGAAGACAAGAAATAACTAAGATCAGAGCAGAAATGAAGTAAATAGAGACAAAAAAAAAAACTCCTCAAAAAAAATCAATAAATCCAGGAGCTGGTTTTTTGAAAAGATCAATAAAACAGACCGCTAGCCAGATTAGTAAAAAAGAAAAGAGAAGAATCAAACAGATAGAATAAACAACAATAAAGGGGATATCACCACCAATTCAACAAAAATACAAACTACCATCAGAGATTACTACAAACAATTCTATGTACATAAGCCAGTAAACCTGGAAGAAATGGATAAATTCCTGGACACTTGCACCCTCCCAAGCCTAAATCAGGAAGGAGTCGAAACCTGAATAGACCAATAACAAGGGCTGAAGTTCAGGCAGCAATGAAGAGCCTACCAACCAAAAAAAGCCCAGGTCCAGATGGGTTCACAGCTGAATTATACCAGACATAGCTGGTACCATTCCTTCTGAAACTATTCCAAACAATACAAAAAGAGGGAATCCTTCCCAAATCATTTTATGAGACCAACATCATCCTGATACCAAAACCTGGCAGAGACGTAACAAACAAAGAAAACTTCAGGCCAATATTCATGATGAACATGGATGCAAAAATCTTCAATAAAATACTGGCAAACCAACTGCAACAGCACATCAAAAAGCTTATCCATCACAATCAAGTAGGATGCAAGGCTGGTTCAACATATGCAAGTCTATAAACGTTAATTCATCACATAAACAGAACCAAAGACAAAAACCACATGATTATCTCAATTGATGCAGAGAAGGCCTTTGACAAAATTCAACAGCCCTTTACGCAAAAAACTTTCAATAAACTAGGTTATCAATGGAACATTATGACAAACCTACAGCCGATATCACACTGAATGGGCAAAAACTGGAAGCACTCCCTTTGAAATCTTACACTAGACAAGGATGCCCTCTCCCACCACTCCTATTCAATATAGTATTGGAAGTTCTAGCCAGATCAATCAGGCAAGAAAAAAAAGAAACAAAGGGTATTCAATTAGGAAAAAAGGAATTCAAATTGTCTCTATTTGCGGATGACATGATGGTATATTTAGAAGACGCCACTGTCTCAGCCCCAAATTTCCCGAAACTGATAAGCAACTTCAGCAAAGTCTCAGGATACAAAATCCATGTGCAGAAATCACAAGCATTCCTATACACCAATAACAGACTTAAAGAGAGCCAAATCAAGAACAAACCACCATTTATGATTGCTACAAAGAGAATAAAATACCTAGGAATACAACTAAAAAAGGATGTAAAGGACCTCTTCAAGGAGAACTACAAACCACTGCTCAAGGAAATAAGAGAGGACGCAAACATGAAAACATTCCATGCTCATGGTTAGGAATAATGAACATTGTGAAAATAGCCATACTACCCAAAGTAATTTACAGATTCAGCTCTATCCCCATCAAGTTACCTATGACACTCTTCACAGAACTGGAAAAAACCACCTTAAACTTCATAGGGAACCAAAAGAGAGTCCGCATAGCCAAGTCAATTATAAGCAAAAAGAACAATCCTAGAGGCATCATGCTACCTGATTTCAAACTATACTACAAGGTTACAGTAATCAAAACAGCATGGTACTGGTACCAAAACAGAGATATAGACCAATGGAACAGAACAGAGGCCTCAGAGGCAATGCCACACATCTACAACCATCTGATCTTTGACAAACCTGACAAAATCAAGCAATGGGGAAAGGAGTCCCTGTTTAATAAATGGTGTTGGGAAAACTGGCTAGCCATGTGCAGAAAGCAGAAACTGGACCCCTTTCTGACACCTTACACTAAAATTAACTCCAGATGGATTAAAGACTTAAACATAAGACCTAACACCATAAAACCCCAGAAGAAAACCTAGGCAAAACCATTCAGGATATAGGCATAGGCAAGGACTTCATGACTAAAATACCAAAAACACTGGCAACAAAGCCAAAATAGACAAATGGGATCTAATTAAACTCCAGAGCTTCTGCACAGCAAAAGAAGTAATCATAGAATGAACTGGCACCCAACAGAATGGGAAAAACATTCTGCTACCTACCCATCTGACAAAGGGCTGATATCCAGAATCTACAAAGAACTAAAACAGATTTACAAGAAAAAAACAAACCTATTCAAAAGTGGGCAAAAGATATGAACAGACACTTTTCAAAAGAAGACATATATGAGGCCAAGAAACATGAAAAATGCTCATCATCACTGTCATTAGAGAAATGCAAATCAAAACCACATTGAGATATCATCTCATGCCAGTTAGGATAGTGATCATTAAAAAATCTGGAGACAACAGATGCTGGAGAGGATGTGGAGAAACAGGAACACTTTTACATTGTTGGTGGGATTGTAAATTAGTTCTACCATTGTGGAAGACAGTGTGGCGATTCCTCAACTATCTAGAAATAGAAATTCCATTTGACCTGGCAATCTCATTACTGGGTATATGCCCAGAGGATTATAAATTATTCTGTTGTAAAGACACATGTACACATATGTTCATTGTGGCACTGTTTACAATAGCAAAGTCCTGGAGCCAACCCAAATGCCCGTCAATGATAGACTGGACCAAAAAAATGTGGCACATATACACTATGGAATACTATGTAGCTATAAAACACAATGAGTTCGTGTCCGTTGTAGGGACATGCATGAATCTGGAAACCATTATTCTCAGCAAACTGATACAAGAACAGAAAACCAAACACTGAATGTTCTCACTCATAGGTGGGTGCTGAACAATGAGGACACATGGACACAGGGAGGGGAGTATCACACACTGGGGTCTATTGGGGAGGGTTGAGGGAGGGACAGCAGGGGTGGGGAGGTTTGGGAGAGATAACATGGGGACAAATGCCAGATATAGGTGATAGGGGGATGGAGGCAGCAAACCACCTTGCCATGTATGTACCTATGCAACAATCCTGCATGATCTGCACATGTACCTCAGAACCTAAGTACAATACAAAATAAATAAATAAATAAAGATAAGACATCAACTGGCAGAAAAAAAAATCCAAAATAGAACTACATGCTATATAAGAGAGATTCACTTTAGATCTAAGGACACACATAGTTTGAAAGAGAAAAGATGAAAAAAAAGATATTTCACACAGAGGAAATATCAAGAGAGCAGAGATATCTTAACATCAGACAAAACAGACTTTAAGTCTACAACTTTTACAAGAGACAAAGAAGGACATTATATAATAATGAAAGGATCAATTTACCAAGATGATATAACATTTATAAACATACATGCACCAAACATGCTTCTTAAATATATATAGTAAACACTGACAACTGAAGAGAGAAACAGACAGCTCTACAGTAGTAACAGTTGGAGAAGTCAGTATCTCACTTTCAGTGTGAAGAAAACAGACAGCAGATCAATACGGAGACAGAGTACTTGAACAACACTTAACACTTTAGACCAATTGGACCTAACAGATATATACAGAACACTCCACCCAACAATAGCAGAATACACATTTTCTAAAGTGCATATCTAATGTTCTCCAGGATAGAACATACTTATGGCTACAGAACAAGTCTTAATAAATGTTAAAAGATTGAAATCATAAAAGCATCTCTTCTGGCCAGGCATGGTAGCTCACGCCTATAAGCTTAGCACTTTGGGAAACCAAGGCAGGTGGATCACTTGAAGTCAGGAGTTTGAGACCAGCCTGGCCAACATGGTAAAACCCCATCTCTACTAAAAATACAAAAATGAGCCAGGCGTGGTGGTGGGTGCCTGTCATCCCAGCTACTTGTGTGGCTGAGGCAGGAGAATTGCTTGAACCCGGGAGGCAGAGGCTGAAGTGAGCCAACATCACACCATCACATTCCAGCCTGGGCGACAGAATGAGACTCTGTCTCAAAATAAAAATAAGTAAATAAAAGTATCTCTTCCAATTAAAACTGAATAAAACTAAAAAGCAATAGCAGAAGCAAAACTAGATGACCCACAAATATGTGGAAATTAAATATCACACTCCACCAACTGGTCAAAGAAAAATCACAAAGAAAATTAGAAAATACTTGAAACAAATGAAAATGAAAACACAGCATTACCAAAACTAATGGGATGTAGCAGCAAAAGCTGTGCGGAGATAAATTTCTAACTATAAATACTTTAAATAGAAGAGCTCAAATCAACCACCTAACTTTACACTGTAAAGGATCTAAAAAAAGAAAAGCAAGCTAAACTCAAAGCTAGCAGAAAGAAATAAAGAATAAAAATTGGAGCAGAGACAACACAGAGAACAGAAAGACAACACGGAAAATCAATAGAACAAAGAGTTTGTTCTTCAAAAAGATCAACGAAATTGACATTCCTATAGCTAGATGGACTAAAAAAACAAGACTCAATAACTAAAATCAGAAATGGAAGAGTGATCATTACTAGAAATTTCACAGAAACAGAAAGGATTGTAAGGAGAGTGCTATGAACAATTATATATCAACAAACTGAATAGTATAAATGAGAAGAACAAATTCCTAGAAACACAACTTATGGAGACTGAATCACAAAAACACAGAAAATCTGAATTGACTCATAACGAATAAAGAGATTGAATCTGTAATAAAAAACCTCCCAACAGTGCTCACTTCAGCAGCACGTATACTAAAACTGGAACAATACAGAGAAGGTTGGCATGGCCCCTGTGCAAGGATGACACACAAATTCATGGGGCATTCCATATTTTTAATTTATTTTTTCTTTTTTGAGACAGATTCTCACTTTGTTGCCCACGTTGGAGTGCAGTGGCGCAATCTCAGCTCACTGCAACCTCCACACGCTGGGTTCAAGTGATTCTCATGTCTCAGACTCCTGAGTAGCTAGGACAGGCACCCACCACCATGCCTGGCTCATTTTTGTATTTTTAGTAGAGATGGGGTTTTGCCATGTTGACCAGGTTGGCCTTAAGTGATCCACCTGCCCTGGCCTCCCAAAGTGATGGAATTACAAGCATGAGCCACTGCACCTGGCCACCATATTTTAAAAATTAACAAAGCAAAATACCTCCCAACAAAGAAAAGCCCACAATTAGATAACTTTGCTGGTGAATTCTACCAAACGTTTAATCAACACCAAACTCCCTCAAACTCTTTCAAAAAATTGAAGAGGAAGAACAATTCCATACTCATTCTGTGAAGCCAGTATTACTATGCTATCAAAGCCAGATGAAGGCATATAGACGAGAAAAGAAAACTGCAGATCAATATACTTTAAATATTGATATAAAAATCCTCAACAGAATTCAACAGCACATTAAAAGGATTATGCACCATGTCCAAGTGGGATTTATTCCTGGAATATAAGAATAGTTTCAACATACAGAAATCATTCAATGTTATATACCACATTAATAGAATGAGGGGAAAAATACAACACCAATCATTTCAATGGATGCGACAGAAGTATTTGACAAAATTCAAAACTCTTTCATGATAAAAAACTTTTTTTTTTTTTTGAGATGGAGTTTCGCTCTTGTTACCCAGGCTGGAGTGCAATGGCACGATCTCGGCTCACCGCAACCTCCGCCTCCTGGGTTCAGGCAATTCTCCTGCCTCAGCCTCCTGAGTAGCTGGGATTACAGGCACGCGCCACCATGCCCAGCTAATTTTTTGTATTTTTAGTAGAGACGGGGTTTTACCATGTTGACCAGGATGGTCTCGATCTCTCGACCTCGTGATCCACCCGCCTCGGCCTTCCAAAGTGCTGGGATTACAGGCTTGAGCCACCGCGCCCAGCCGATAAAAAACTCTTAATAAAGGCCGGGCGCGGTGGCTCAAGCCTGTAATCCCAGCACTTTGGGAGGCCGAGGCGGGTGGATCACAAGGTCAAGAGATCGAGACCATCCTGGTCAACGTGGTGAAACCCCGTCTCTACTAAAAATACAAAAAAAATTAGCTGGGCATGGTGGCGCGTGCCTGTAATCCCAGCTACTCAGGAGGCTGAGGCAGGAGAATTGTCTGAACCCAGGAGGCGGAGGTTGCGGTGAGCCGAGATCCCGCCATTGCACTCCAGCCTGGGTAACAAGAGTGAACCTCCGTCTCAAAAAAAAAAAAAAAAAAAACAAAAAAAAAAACAAAAACAAAACAAAACAAAACAAAACTCTTAATAAGCTTAGAAGGAAACTACCTCAACTTAATAAAGTCCATATATGGAAAGCCAACAGTGAATATCGTACTCAATCTTGAGATGCTGAAAGCATTTCTCTATAATAAGGAACAAGTCAAGGATGCCTGTTCTTATCATTTCTACCACTTCTATTAAATATAGCAACAGTCTCCAACCTTTTTGGCATCAGGGACCAGTTTCGTGGGAGACAATCTTTTTATGGACTAGTGGGTAGGATGAGGAGAATGAATTTGAGATGAAAACAGTTTCACATCAGATCACCAGGCATTAGTTAGATTCTCATCAGGACTGTACAACCTAGATCCCTCACATATGCAGTTCACAATAAGGTTCAAGCTCCTATGAAAATCTAATGCTGTTGCTGATCTGAAAGGAGGTGGAGCTCAGGCATTAGGTACTACTCACTTGCCCATCACTCACCTCCTGCTGTGTGGCCTGGTTCCAAACAGGCCACAGACTGTCGGTACTGTTGTGCAGCCTGGGGGTTGGGAACCTCTGCAATATAGTACTGGAAGTCCTAGCCAGAGCACTTAGGCAAGAAAAATAAATAAAAGGCACCTAGATTGAAAAGAAGTAAAATCTTTTTGCAAATTACATGATCTTATATGTAGAAAACCCTAAAGATTCCACTAAAAAACCATTAGAACTAATAAATTTGGCACAGTAGCAGGATACAAAAATCAGTATATAAAAATCAGTCATATTTCTATATACTAGCAATGAACAATCTAGAAAGGAAATTAAGAAAACAATTCCATTTACAATAGCATCAAAAATAATAAAATACTTAGGGATGAACCAAGGAGGACTCGTACACTGACAACTACAACACATTCTGAAAGAAATTAAAGACATACACAAATGGAAAGACATCCCATGTTCACAGATTACAAAACTTAATATTGTTAAGACAGTAATACTACCCAAAGTGATCTACATATTCAGTGAAATCCCTATCCAAAATCCCGATGACTTTTTATTTTGGAAGAAATAAAAACATTCATCCAAAAATTCATATGGAATCACAAGGAACCCAAATAGCTAAAGTAGTCTTTTTCTTTTCTTTTCTTCTTCTTCTTTTTTTTTTTTTTTTTTGAGACAGGGTCTGACTCTGTCACCCAAGCTGGAGTGCAGTGGCGTGATCTTTGCTCACTGCAACCTCTGCCTCCTTGGCTCAAGTGATCCTCCCACCTCAGCCTTCCAAGTAGCTGGGAGTATGGAAGCATGCCATTATGTGGCTAATTTTTTTTTATTGCATTTTAGGTTTTGGAGTACATGTGAAGAACATGCGAGATTGTTGCATAGGTACACACATGGCAGTGTGATTTGCTCCCTTCCTCCCTATCACCTGTATCTGGCATTTCTCCCCATCTCACCATGCTATCTCTCCCCAACTCCCCACCCTCTGCTGTCCCTTCCCTATTTCCCCCAGACAGACCCCAGTGTGTGATGTTCCCCTCCCTGTGTCCATGTGTTCTCATTGTTCAACATCCAACTATGAGTGAGAACATACGGTGTTTGATTTTCTGTTCTTGTGTCAGTTTGCTTAGAATAGTGGTTTCCAGCTTCATCCATGTCCCTGCAAAGGACACGAACTCATCATTTTTTATGGCTGCAGAGTATTCCATGGTGCATATGTGCCACATTTTCCCTGTCCAGTCTATCATCGATGGGCATTTGGGTTGGTTCTAGGTCTTTGCTATTGTAAACAGTGCTGCAATGAACATTCGTGCGCATGTGTCCATACAGTAGAACGATTTATAATCCTTTGTATATATATCTAGTAATGGGATTGCTGGGTCAAATGGAATTTCTATCTCTAGGTCCTTGAGGAGTCGCCACACTGTCTTCCACAATGGTTGAACTAATTTACACTCCCACCAACAGTGTAAAAGTGTTCCTATTTCTCCACATCCTCTCCAGCATCTGTTGTCTCTGGATTTTTTAATGATCGCCATTCTAACTGGCGTGAGATGGTATCTCAATGTAGTTTTGATTTGCATTTCTCTAATGACCAGTGATGAACATTTTTCATATGTTTGTTGGCCTCATATATGTCTTCTTTTGTAAAGTGTCTGTTCATATCCTTTGCCCACTTTTGAATGAGCTTGTTTTTTTTTTTTCCTTGTAAATCTGTTTTAGTTCTTTGTAGATTCTGGATATCAGCCCCTTATCAGATGGGTAGATTGCAAAAATTTTTTCCCATTCTGTTGGTTGCCAATTCACTCTAATGACTGTTTCTTTTGCTGTGCAGAAGCTCTGGAGTTTGATTAGGTCCCATTTGTCTATTTTGGCTTTTGTTGCCAATGCTTTTGGTGTTTTGGTCATAAAGTTCTTGCCTAGGCCTATGTCTTGAATGGTAGGTTTTCTTCTGGGGTTTTATGGTGTTAGGTCTTATGTTTAAGTCTTTAATCCATCTGGAGTTAATTTTAGTGTAAGGTGTCAGGAAGGAGTCCAGTTTCTGCTTTCTGCACATGGCTAGCCAGTTTTCCTAACACCATTTATTAAACAGGGACTCCCTTCCCCATTGCTTGTTTTTGTCAGGTTTGTCAAAGATCAGATGATTGTAGATTTGTGGTGTTGCCTCCAAGGCCTCTGTTCTGTTCCATTGGTCTATATCTCTTTTTTAGTACCAGTACCGTGCTCTTTTGATTACTGTAGCCTTGTATAGTTTGAACTCAGGTAGCATGATGCCTCTAGGATTGTTCTTTTTGCTTAGATTGACTTGGCCCTGCGGGATCTCTTTTAGTTCCTTATGAAGTTTAAAGTGTTTTTTTCCAGTTCTGTGAAGAAGGTCATTGGTAGCTTGATGGGGATAGCGTTGAATCTGTAAATCACTTTGGGCAGTATGGCCATTTTCACAATATTGATTCTTCCTAACTATGAACATGGAATGTTTCTCCATCTGTTTGTGTCCTCTCTTATTTCACTGAGCAGTGGTTTGTAGTTCTCCTTGAAGAGGTCCTTTACATTCCTTGTTAGTTATATTCCTAGGTATTTTATTCTCTTTGTAGCAATTGTGAATGGCAGTTCATTCTTGATTTGGCTCTCTAAGTCTGTTATTGGTGTATAGGAATGCTTGTGATTTCTGCACATGGATTTTGTATCCTGAGACTTTGCTGAAGTTGCTTATCAGTTTCAGCAGATTTTGGGCTGAGACCATGGGGTCTTCTATACATACAATCATGTCATCTGCAAATAGAGACAATTTGACTTCCTCCTTTCCTATTTGAATAACTTTTATTTCTTTTTCTTGCCTGATTGCTCTGGTAGAACTTCCAATACTATATTGAATAGGAGTGGTGAGAGAGGGTATCCTTGTCTAGTGCCAGATTTCAAAAGGAATGTTTCCAGTTTCTGCCCATTCAGTATGATACTGGCTGTTGGTTTTTTGTAAATAGCTTTTATTATTTTGAGATACGTTCCATTAATACCTAGTTTATTGAGGGTTTTTATCATAAACGGCTGTTGAATTTTGTCAAAGGCCTTCTCTGCATCAATTGAGATAATCATGTGGTTTTGGTCTTTTCTGTTTATGTGGTGAATTACGTTTATAGACTTG